ATAAACTAACTTTCCCAGAGTCATGTAAACAGTAATTGATGGAACCCAAATTTGAACCATTTATGTGACTCCCAAGTCCACACTCTTCACTTCTCCGTTATACAGCAGTACTAGAAAAGGTGAAACACTGGCTCACCCATTCCATTCACAAAACTCTTTTTTCAATCCATTTTATTAAGAGCCTTTCTGAATCCACAGTTGTCACCCAGGTAGGCTTAAGGAACATAGTTGTACCTGACACGTTAGCAATTTCCTGAGTCTCTGTTGCTACTGCTGCCCTATTGCAGACAATAAAACCGGATAAGTTTCTAGAAATTAGAATGCTCCTGGTATTGAAATATCACAGAGGCCAATGCTATAAGGAATAACTGCCTCTGTCTTCTGGATTCTATGCTTGGAGACTTTGGATTGTTGTCCTACAAGATCCTCTGCTGTATGACTCTATTTGACCAATACTCCACTTCATCAAGGTGAAATGGTCCACTAGGGAGACTGTCAGGGTCTGGATGTCACTATATAGTTTCCAAATGGTAATCAAAAAACTGTTTTTGTAATTGATGGAAGATTGTGGTATTTGGCACATTTAAAATTTGTGAGGCTTACACAGATCTGATACTCAGGTTTATGGTCTTCAGTTTCACGAGTCATCTTTCTAGTAGAAGAATTATAATATCAACTCCATAATACTGGCTGTAGCAATAGTAGACAGAGAAATCTTAAGAGATGATGAGATTTTACCCAAGTTTACAAGTGTGCTGTACTAGAAAGAGTGTGGTTGGTGCCAGAAGACCTGGGATTTTGTCCCAGTCTACGTGACTTGCATAAACTACTGAAATTCTTTGAGTCTAATTCTCTAACTAGTAAAATCAAGAAAAAAAACCCTCCAGGGATTTTGTTAAATAACAAATCAATTTGGAAATATCCTATAAAGTATTAAATGATGACTGGCACTGCTCTGTTTAAACAGAAAATATGACTTAGCATGTATTTAGTATAATCTTTTAGGAAGCTTTTAGGACTTACCAAAAAGTCTTATTATCAGTAAGTTTAGGAATTTGATTATCTTAACAAGAGTCTATTTTCACATCTTTTTCAAATTTGAGTTTTTAAGATAAAAGAAGTCTATTTTATCCTTGTTAAGAGTATGAACAGAATAAACAATGAGCTCTTTGAAGAATGTTTTATAAACCTATAGCACACTCACACTCCTGTATCACTGTGGAATGCCTGATCACTGGAAATATAACCACAATATTGGTCCAGTGAGTATTCATGTTTGATAATTAAGATAATCACTAATTTCCACTGCTGTTGCTCTGCCACTTCACAAGGTATATACTATTGGTCTCTTAGTATTACACTCTCATTGACCATGGACTCTAAATCATTATTTGCTGGTTACAGACCTTTACAATGCCCAGTGGCATTTGCCACTGATGACAGCAATAACAGATGATGTTGAGCCAAAGCTACTGGGAGTGAAATGCAGAAAGTAAAATGATAATAAATAACTGTCACTACATTACTAAACAGTGCCTGAAATTGGTTCTAGTACATGTTCGATATAGCAGAGTCTGCATAATCCAAGAACCAAAAAGGCATTTACTCCTTAGTAAGAGCAGGAAACAAAAAGGAACCCAAACATTTGTCTTGTGCAGTGACTAGGAATTCCTCATTGAGCACGGCATGAGTATTCAAAGAATTCTCAACAGATTCCACTTCAAAATCTTACGGTATCTTCTCAAATCGATGGTACCTGGGAAATATGTCAAAAGGTATATACTCAGTCCGATAGATACAAACTTCAGGAATGCTGGATAGAATACAGAGATAAAGTCTCAAATGGCTGTGAGACTGAGTATATGAATATATTCTAAGTACAGATATGTAATTACAGTCAGGCATTGCTTTACAAGGAGGATAGATTCTGAGAAATGCATCATTAGGCTATTTCTTCATTGTGCGAACGTTATGGGGTATATTTACAAAAACCTAGGTGGTATAACCTGTAATACACCTAGGCTATATGATACTAATATTATGGGATGACTACCACATATGTGGTCTGTCATTGACCAAAACATTGTTATGCAGCGCTTGATTGTACAGGAAATATGGGACTGTTAGGGATACAAGATGCCTGGGAGAGATCATAAAACTTGTCTAAACATAATTTTGGTTCTAGTCAGGTGATTTGAGTGGAGGACAGATTTGAAACATCCTCCTTGACAAGCCATCTCATAAACTTCAGATATGAGAGCAGAATCTGTTGTAATAAACTCACAATATAGATATTCAGTAAGAGGGTATTATTGGAGATAAAATGTGCATACTATACAATAATTACTCTTTAAAATTTAAAAGAAAATTTGTATCCTTCCTCCCTTTCTCAGACTACTGCAGCATTCTTTATTCTCTTCTCTTTCATTCCATTGATGATGTTTCAGGTTTGTCGTGGTGTTGGTTTTTTGTTTGATTGTTAGTAAAGGATTCATTCTACAACTCTGTATCCTAAGTGAACTGACATGTGGTAATCCCAAAAGTTCTTAGTCTGAAAACATAATCCACTTGCTAGATAGACTATATAAATCTGAGCCTCAGTGATCTTATTAGTAAAACTGGGATAATAATAGCAATATAGCAAAGTTAATGTGAGAATTAAATAAATAATATATATGAAGTGATATATTTCCTTGTTTTCTCCCAAAAGTAGAGCCTAGGAACAGAAGGTAGTTTATTTTGGGAAGACATCTTAGGGAACAGAACTGGGAGCCTAGGAAGAATGAATCAGGAAAGAAAGAAGAACCAATCCAAAGATATATTGTCAAGCTGGTCACCACTGTAGGAACTGGGGCTTGATCCCGCTGGGGAACTTTTGAGGACCTGCAGAAAATGCACTTCAAAGTGGTCCATACAACGAATGGAAGAATATTGGTCAAAGGTTGCTCTGTGGGATGTTAATGCCTCACACAAGGTTGTGTATGTATTAGAATATCTGAGCAGCCTCCTGAGGAATTCCACATAGCAATGCAGGGAAGCCTCAAGGCAGGAAGTGAATAAAATCCAAGTGATTTGGAATTCATACAGGGGAGATTTATGAGAGTAGAGAATGGCCAGGTTGAAAATAATGAATTGATGGTCAGGGATCTATCTTGCTACTAGACAGTAGTGAGTGCGTCATTCCAGGGGCATTCCAAATGAACTGGACTGTCAGGGAACTGTGCTCAGTGGAACACAAATCCAGAATGCAGAGCAGTTTCAGTGTGATTTCCATAAGGTTAGAAGCAGTGGCTTCTATCAAAGATTCTTGAGATCCAGGACCATGGAGATCATCAACTTCTTAACCTACAATGGTCAAGTGGCCATCTAGCAGGCCTGTAATCCCATCCAAGAACAAAAATAAAAATAAATAGTAATAAGAAGCTTATTTTCTTAGCATATAATTTTAAAGTTTGTAAAACACTCTCATATGCATTATCTTTTTTGAAGTTACCAACAATGCTGTGAGACGGTATGTTATTATTCTCTTTTTTCAGATGAAAAAATTTGAAGTTTCTGTTTTAAGGGTTTTAACCAAGTCTCCATTGTCTACATGTGGTGAGCCAGAACGAGAACCAAGGCATATTTATCCTAATCCAAGCATCCTAAAAGATGGCTTTAACAAAATTTCCTCCTATCAATTACTTTGTAAGCTCTGACACCTGCCCTCCACCTCCAGTGGCTCAGCAGCAACCTAAGTTGCTCACTTACGTTGACTCACTCATGTCACTGAAAGCATGAGCAAAGTTTATCATTAGCAAAATTTATTTCCAATTCCATTGCCATTTGTAACATTTGATCTCTTACCGAGGATGCCTACTGGATTTGAAGGAAACTAACTCCAGATGCTGTGGGCCCCCAGACAGTTCCCAACAAGAACTGGCTTCTAGAGAACTGAGAAATAACCTAAATAATCAGCAAAAACTGGAAACTCAAGAAAAACCAACATTTTTAATAAAATACAGGTGTTGTGGCTGATATATACGAGCTCTCAGGAATCTGAATATTTGAAACATGGAACTTTCTTAAATTCATCTTTTTCCATCTGTCTCCAGATTTTATGTCACTGAATTTAACTAATTTAATAATAATAGTAATAATGATAATGATGACCATTATACAGTTGCTACTACCACTACAAATAATAATAACAACTAGTGATCGTTGAGAATTTATTATTATGAGCTAGGCACTGTGTTAAGTGCTCCATTAATTAACTTAGTTAATTCCCACAATAATCCTCAGGTAGAAAGTATATTAATATCTTCGCTTTACAAATTAAGGAACTGAAGTAGAGAAAGACTGAGTTTCCCGAGTAACACAGCAGGAAGTGGCTGATTCAGATGTGTTCCCAGGCAGTCTTATCCACTATGCCATACTGCCTGCCTTTCAGACCCAAGTTCTGTAGTCTGGTCTGCAGTTGCTAGGAAACCAAACTTTCACAGATTCCTAAGCATTGGCTGTAAGTAAAGTGACGTACTATATCTCAGAGTAATTCAGAAATTGATTAACATCTTTGGAGGGGTATGTGTGTATGTGTGTGTGTGTGTGTGTTGAGGGTAGGGGCAGAGGAGGGCATTGCAGAAAGGAAGAAAAGTAGAGGAAGTTTGCCCCAGGAGTTTTTTTTTTATTTCCTAGAATTTCAGAGTATATTTACAACTTCTTGCTTTCTCTTTTCTACTCTAAACAAACATGTACACATTTTACTTTTAATTCACATGACTGCTATATAAATCGAAAGTAGTGTGGAATGATTCGCCACCTGACAGAAATGGTCTCACTGTGAGCTCTCAAGGTAGAGGAAATAATTCCCCTCAGGCTGCTGCCCCTGCATACTTAGGCTCTTCTCCCTATGTCTTGCAAAACCAGCTCCAGGTTGGGGAGTTCCACCTGTGAGAGGCTGCCTGGATTGACAAGGAGAGGGCACAGCACATAGCTCTCCCCCCAAGGAGGTGACATACCCGGTCAGTTTTCCCTTCAGTCTGAACACTGGTGTGACTGCGGACCTCATGATCCTCTTCCAGGTCAGAAACTTCCTCCAGTTCCTCTGGGGTCTATAAAAGAAAGCAAAACATTGCTGGTGGGAATCCAAAATGGAAAACAGTCTGGCAGGATCTCAAAAAGGAAACATAGAGTTACCCAGCAATTCCACCCTTAGGAATATACCCAAGAGAAATGAAAACATACTTTCCACACAAAAACTTCTCAACAGTGTTCACAGCAGCACGAATCATAAGAGCCAAAAAGTAGAAAAAACACAAACATATATCTACTGATGAGTGAATAAATAAAATGTGGTAAATCCATACAATGGAATATTACTTTGCCATAGAAAGGAATAAAGTACTGATACATGCTGCAACATGGGTGAACCTTGAAAATATTATGCTAAGTGAAAAAAATCAATCACAAAAGACCACATATTGTAAGATTTCATTTATATGAAATGTCTAGAATAGACAAATCTATAGAAACAGAAATTTGATTAGTGGTTCCTAAAGGAAGGGGTGGGGGAGGGGGGAGTGAGCAGTGACTGCTAATGGGTACGTGGTTTCTCTTTGGGATGAAAACAATATTCTGGAATTAGATAGTTGGTAATGGATACACAATTTTGTGAATATACTAATAGACACTGAGTTTTATACTTTAAAATGGTGAACTTTATGGTATATGAATTATATCCCAAAAAGTTTTGAAAAAAAAGGAAAGCAAAAATTATCAGAATGAAGTTTTTTCCTCAGTGAGTAGCAATTTGGCTAACCACTATGTGGTTACCACAAACCAGGTGTTTACAGGTGATAAACAAATGGAACAATTATCATTAAAACCATATGATATCAAAACACCACCATAAATAATATATTAAGTAAATTAAATTTTCTAGGAACTTAAATAATAAATAATTTAACATGAACTTCAGTGTCTATTCTAAATAATTAACCTACTTCAATTCTTCTTTTTCAATTTCAACTTAAACATAGCTTGTTCAGGGAGGTGTCCTGCTCAGGAATCCCCCAGACTGGGTTGGGTTCCTCTGCAAAGCGTTTCCTGATCCCCTCTACTTTCACTCTCATAATGCTCAAAATACTTTATTGTATCATTGTTTTTTGAATTAGGCAGCCAATTGTTGAACTGTCTACTCCGTGATGTAAGGACTAGGTCTGCCCTGCTTACTGTCAGGTCACCACACCCTAGCACGTACGTGCCTTTGAATAAATGAAGCAAAATTATCAGTGATAGCCAAAAAGATAGTCGGATATGAGCAAAACAAAACACATCAACAGCAAAACAAAACCTGTCCTAACCGTACCTTTACTGTGCTTCCATCTTCTATATTTCAAACTATAATTTTTTATTTGTTTTATGTTGTTTTTCCTAGTTCAAGGTTTTCATTCCTTTAGTCTCACTGGGGCAATAATTTAAAGATATCAGTCATTATTGCAAATACAAGTAACAGTACTTAACAAGAATTAACTGAATATTTGTCTTAGTTTAAACAGTCTCAGCTTTAAATTATGATACCTTTGCTACAAAGCCCTGGTGAGAAATCCAGAATACAAACATTTAGGATTCATGAGAAACAAACCAAAGTGAAGTGGAGGATCTCTTACAGCTCTAACCCGGCTGTTAAAGACTAGAAAGGGGCTGGGCCTGCCTCCTCAGACCAGCTCTGCTTTGCCTTCAACCTTGCTTTGCACACAGGCCTTTTATTTATATTCAGGGCTGCGAAGAACTCTTCTTCCCTTGGGATCACTCCAGAGATGGGAACATGCAATGATTATCTCACTTTGTGGAGCAAAACTACCAATTTCCTAACCATTAATGGCCTCAGATTCTTTCTCATCTTCTGTATCTTTAATCAGCACTCTCTTTGTTCTCTAACACTTGCGCAGAGCATCACCCAGCCAGTCAATTATTTCAGCTGACTCCTGTGGGATATTAATATTCCCCCTCTTTACCAAGGCCTCTGATATGCTGAGTAATTGTTATCTACGTGTTGATCTCTTATATGCAGGCCTTCTTTGCTGCAACTATGTGCAGCTAAGATCACAGGGCAATCTACTCTCACTTTTTAGGTATCAATTAGCATGAGTTCACCACTATGGAACTTCTACACAGCCACGTATTTTGTTATTAGCCATTTTTGTGTATTCTTCCCACAGTATTCTTGGGAAAGGATCTTTGTAATTTCTCTCCTGGATACATCACCAGCCCCTGTAACATCTGAATAAATTCAGTTGATCAAACTTCCTTTCTTGTGTTGTATTGTTTTGTAACTGAAGGTTGTCTGGTTCCCCTACTGTGATCTGTTTCATATAAATGTCTGTTGTTTATTGTTTGGGTTACACTCTACCTTGTAGTGACATGTAACTTCATCATTGAGTCCAATATTTTATTCAGTCCAAAAGTAAAGTAACTTAACAGAAACTCAGAACAACTGCTGCTGTCCGAAGTCTCAAGTACCATTTTTGTTGGTGCTACTGCTGCAAGAGAGAAGCCTACCATTTATGCCCACGTGTTTCTGTGCTTTTCTTTCTCTTTAACTTGGGACTAATAGTTTTCTTGCAGAGCCACCAGAACTGACCTCTTCTTTTCATGAACAAAATCAGTGGGGGTGTATTCAAAACATTTGCTGGCAGCATTTTGTATTCTGTAAGGCAAGCAGTTGGATGGTATTGAAAAAATAAGATGTTAAATACACAATGTTATAGTTTAAATTAAGTGAAAGCTAAGACAGAAATAGGAGTACTCTAACCACTTTTGGGGTGATACATTAATTTCTTCAGAACTGAAGATGAATATAGTTGCCCCTTGGTATCCACGGGGTGTTGGTTCCAGGACACCCAAAGATACCAAAATCCAGGGATGCTCCAGTCCCTTATATAAAATGGCATAGTATCTGCATATAACACATGCACATCCTCTTGCATACTTTAAATCATCTCTCGATTACTTATAATACCTAATACAATGTAAATGCTGTGTAAACAGTTGTTGTATTGCTGAGGGTATAATGGCAAGGAAAAAAGACAGTCTGTACATGTTCAATACAGATGCAACCATCTTAGGCCTTTCGATCTGATGTTGGTTGAATCCTCAGATGTAGAACCCACAGATGCAGAAGACTGACCATAATAATTTAAAGAGCAAATATTTTTAAAAAGGAGGATGGTAGATGGGCTACCCTATATTATACACTCTTAAAAACAACTTGCTTTTAGTTGTCCGGTAACTTTAGAAGGTTAAACATCTGGAAGGGGTGTGTGTTTGTGTGTGTGTGAGAGTTGTGTGTGTTTCTAGTCAATTTTCATTCTGTGGGAGGAGAGACCAACTATCTTAGAGGCAGAGTCATGTAGTAGAAAGACCCTATACTGTTGAGTAATGCAGACTTGAATTTGAATTCTAGCCCTCCAACTAGTCATTATGAGACGTTTGGCAATTTGTGCACCCTTTTATTTTTATTTATTTTATTTATTTATTTTAATAATTTTATTTATTTATTTTTTTCCCCCAAAGCCCCAGTAGATAGTTGTATGTCATAGCTGCACAACCTTCTAGTTGCTGTATGTGGGACGCAGCCTCAGCATGGCCGGAGAAGCAGTGCGTCGGTGCACGCCCGGGATCCGAGCCCGAGATCTGAACCCGGGCAGCCAGCAGCAGAGCGCGCGCACCCAACCTCTAAGCCATGGGGCTGGCCCTGTGCACTCTTTTAAACTTTGGTTTCCTCAGAACAAAATTTTGGATAATAATATCTTACTCGAAGTTTATTGTGAGGCTCAATTGTTAAGATGCTTTCATTAAGAGCTTAGCCCACAGATATAGCTGGGGCGCAAAAAGTTTGTTTCTTTCTGTCTGTTGCTTTTTCTCCTCTTCCTCCACTATCCTGTCCCTCATTCCATCACACCTCTTTATATTTTTTGATAAAACTTTTGTGGCAATTTGGATACCTCCATTTTAATTCAAATTTATTATTGTGGGTTGACATGGTACTTCCTAGCTGCCTCTAGTTACATTCACCTGATTTTGAGTATATAATGTCATTGTGCTAAACAGGGTTTAATATAATTCCACAAGCATTGTTTTCTTCTAAATTCCAAATAAACATCTCCTTTGATCTGATTTTAATCATTTACAATTATGTCTTAAACTGGCCCCACCAAAGATTCACTCTCACATAGATTCTCAGGGATGATGGAAATAACTCCTCTAAGCTGGGCTGTCTCTAAGCCAGACGAAGAAGATGTCCAATTTTTTCCAGAAAGAGTGTTAATAAACTCAGTCATTACCTACTTATTTCTCGTATCAGAATTCAGGAAAACTGTTTCATATTTTCCTACTTTAACTCTTGCGTATTGTGAAACGTTCCTTAGGCAGCCCAAAGTGATTTGAAATAAGCTTAGTTTCCTCATCTGTGAAATGCCAAAAATATTACCTAATGATCTCACTTTATTTATGCAAAAGAGGCCATAAACAAGTATAGAAATTAAAAATATACAGGCTGAAGTTTTTATATAGAAACTGGGGCTGCAATAAATGGTAGTGGTATATTAAACTTCAGGGTCACAATAAATTAGTGGTATATATGTGTGTGTGTGTGTGTGTATATATATATATATATATATATATATATATATATATATATATATATATAGAAATGACTGCATTTATATTGGCTTTTTTCCCCCCAAGGATCTCAATGCTTTCTACAGGCTTTATCTCATTAATTCTTTCAGGATCCCTAGTGAGACAGGTAGGCGGTATTATTATATCTAAAAATTCACTTGCACAGGCTTTATAAATGTTTAATATTGTTAAATAAAAAAGAAATTTGTGGTCACCAAACAGCAAAAAGAAGGAAATAAAGAGAATGTGAGACAGAAAGAAAGAGAGAGAGAGACTGAGAAAGAGAGAGAGAAAGAAACAGGAGAAAAGAAAAGAAAAGAGATAGTCTAGGAAACGGGAGTCATGCTTGGCATTTTCCTCTCAGAATTAAGGTTGAATTTCTAAATCATACACACAATTTAACCATAAATCATACTTCTCTGACTACCCA